TTAATTCATGATTTGGGATGGAATTTGGGAAGAAAATTGTGAAACCTTTCAAAAATGTAAAATGATGATTTGAAGGACCAAATGGTATCAGAATTAGATAATTTTGGTATGGTTAGACTCGTGAGGGTATGAGGATTCTGAAAATGTAAATTTTACCCGATTCCGAGATGTGGGCCCAAGCCTCGGGTTTTGGTAATTTCGGGAATCGTGCCCTTTGTTGATTATTTTCGCTTGGGCTTTGTTTTCTTAGCATATTGTGACGTATTCATTCTGATTTTGGATAGATTCGACGCCCGTGGAGGCCGATTTGAGGGGAAAAGGCGTCGCGAGCTAGAGATTTAGCCGGTTCGAGGTGAGTAATGATTGCAAATGATGTCCTGAGGGTTTAAAAACCCTGAATTGCACATCGTAGTGCTATATTGAGGCAAGATACGCGCTGGATGATGAGCGTGGGGTCTTTTACTACTGGGAATTGTGACTTGGTCCGTCCCGATTGATGATTTTACCGCATATTTGACTGAAATTTATTTGTTATCATCATGATTTGGGCTGATTGCCATATTTGGGCTTCGTGCCAACTATTTGAACCTTTCAGGGGTTTTTATCATTGTTTCCTCACTGCTTGACTTATTATTTGAACTCAGTCCTGTTGATATCTACTGTTTTACATACTCAGCCACTTTTACTCAAATTTGAAACTTAAATGATATTTCTACATCATGTTTTAGGCTGAGAACTACTGTTTTACTAATGCCCAAGGGGTTTGTGATGATTTTTGGACTGAGTAAGGCCGAGGGCCATATGTGAGGATATGCTGAGTGATATGAGGCCGAGGGCCTGAGATACTTTATATGCCACGAGATGGCTTGAGGGATGTGAGGTCGAGTGCCGAGTGATGATACCACGAGGTGGCTTGATATAGCGTTTGGGCCGTAAGGGGCCCCTCTGGAGTCTGCACACCCACAGTGAGCGCGGGTACCCATTATGATCTGAGAGTGAGCCCGAGGGATTGATACTGTTCTAAGTGATTGATACTGAGCTCGAGGGGCTGATACTGTACTAAGAGTGAGNTTGACCTAGAGAGCTCGGATTTTGGCGATTTTTCGAAGGTTTTTCAAGAAATTCATCGGGGTAAGTGATTTTAACTCAGATTTGGATAGAATACATGAATCTATCACTGAATTCATCATTTAATTCATGATTTGGGATGGAATTTGGGAAGAAAATTGTGAAACCTTTCAAAAATGTAAAATGATGATTTGAAGGACCAAATGGTATCAGAATTAGATAATTTTGGTATGGTTAGACTCGTGAGGGTATGAGGATTCTGAAAATGTAAATTTTACCCGATTCCGAGATGTGGGCCCAAGCCTCGGGTTTTGGTAATTTCGGGAATCGTGCCCTTTGTTGATTATTTTCGCTTGGGCTTTGTTTTCTTAGCATATTGTGACGTATTCATTCTGATTTTGGATAGATTCGACGCCCGTGGAGGCCGATTTGAGGGGAAAAGGCGTCGCGAGCTAGAGATTTAGCCGGTTCGAGGTGAGTAATGATTGCAAATGATGTCCTGAGGGTTTAANCCGTACCTCCCTTATCTTACTATTTTCATGTTCTTGAACTTCTGTAATGGATTTCATATCTAGTAGACTGGTATCCGGAACTATTAGTTGCTCATGACTTGTGACACCCCGGTTTGGGCTGCGTCGGGATGGTTTCTACTGTTGTTATCGTTAATTTCGCAAATTATGGTTATTATATTATGTTTTAGAACTACTTATGGTATTTAACTGTTTAAAAGAGGTGGTCTGTTTTGGTCTGGCTGGCCTTGTCTTCACGAGAGGCGCCATCACGACCGGGTTCGAGGAATTGGGTCGTGACAATAATGCTATGCGTGAAAATATAATGCGGCGCTATACTTTAACCGTCAAAATACCGTTAAAGTATAGCACGGTATAAAATCGCATTATATATAGAATAATCACTCTTTTTTTTTTACACATATTTATGTAACACTTATAAAAAAAACCACAATTGGGTTCCGCACTCGCCTTAATGATAGCTAGCTGAAGTGTTAGTTAAGTGAAGTTGGTGCAAAATCACGTCTTTCTATGGCCATCATGACTCGTCATCTTGTGGAATTGAGGGATTGCTGACAAATTAAATTGATGTATACGTAAATAAGGTTTTACTACAACTTTTTGATGGTTTGAAAGATTTACCAGATCTAGTAGGTCAACGGTACATGGCACTTTTTGGTTATCCTATTTTTGGTTTTCTTACAATTTTTTTTTTTTTTTTTGTGTGTGTATTCTATGTACATGCACATGACACATCGTGGTGGAAGTTCAACTTGCATTCTCGATAGGAATTGATTAAATCTGAAGTTGCTAATCNCAATTTTTTTTTTTTTTTTGTGTGTGTGTATTCTATGTACATGCACATGACACATCGTGGTGGAAGTTCAACTTGCATTCTCGATAGGAATTGATTAAATCTGAAGTTGCTAATCAGACTTTAATGTTTCTTGTGTAATTGAAGATTAATCAAAGTGATAATATATAAAACAAACCAACTACTATATCATGTGCATGGGTGATATATAACATATGCCTTTTATTTTTAACCAAACCCTATGAGTAGTACTATTTTGTACGTACATTGCTTTTCAACAGAATGAAAGATCTGTATGTGGCATATGATTAATACATTGTTAATCCAACATTACTCTCTAAATTAGGTAGATCATACCCACTAATTCAATGTTTGAACTCTTTAAGAGTAATTAAACCTCTACAAGCACTTCAAACTTGCAACTTCATTCCTTCTTATAGAAAACTTAATATCAAAGAAAGTTCGACTTTTATACAACTTGTTTCAAAGGATTAAAGCACATAACATCTAACTTTAAACTTTTTTTATAACTAGACTTTTGATAGTATAACCTTTTTTTCTCTTCTTATATATGTCCCTTTTTCCCTCTCCTACAAGACTATATCTTATTATGAAAATAGAAGAGCTCAAACGTAGTCCACATCATAAAGTTTATTGAGATTCTTAATTGGTTTACCCTAAAAGTTGCTATATTGGGAGCTCAGTCTAGTGGGTCTCGGATATTTTCGACTTTTCGTATTCCTCTTTGTTTCTTTTCCTTTGTAGAGGTTCTTTTGTTTCATTGCGAACTTTTTACAAAAATAGTATAGAGACTAGCCTTAAAACCGTTTACAAAAAAGAGGCTAGTCTTAAATCCGTTTAGTATAAGAACGAAATGCAACTTGCCTCTTCCTATCCATTTTTAGAAAAGCATGTAGTAGAAATATCACTATACCACGACTCCACTAGCATGAGCAAGCAGTTCGGGTCGGTCGGGTAAAAGGGTTGGGTCTGTTGGATATAATGGAAAGTGGGGCGGGTGTTTTTTTAGAGCGATTAGAGGTTGCCACGTATAATTTTTACTTTCCGAATATTAAACTAACGATAATTTGGATACTAAAGTACAATGGTAGGGATATGAATAATACAAAAGTGAAACGGAGGATAAATTAATGTAGTTTATTTTCAAGAGCAAGAGGGTGTTTGGCTAAACTTATAAGCTGGTCAAACTAGTTTATAAGCACTTTTCAGTTTATTTACACGTTTGGTAAAATTAAAAGTGCTTATAAACCAAGTGCTTATGAGGGTATTTGACTAAACTTATAAGCTGATCAAACTGGATTATAAGCACTTTTTGACTTAACATTCTTATTCGCACTCTTTACCTACACTCTACAACAAAATAAAAGAATCGGCTTAAGTGTCAATGAAGCTGGTAAATAGTAACTGAAATATTATGATTGGAGAGGAAGTAAAGAGTGATATTCCCACCCACAACCCCGCCCACCCAAATTTGCGCTCAGGAGTGCGCACCTTGTCTGAAATTATTAGTCTTCCATTTTCTACCTTGTGCATTTTTCTTGGCCTTGAACTACTCCCTATGCTAAAAGGACCCAAATCTCCTATTTATTTTTTATGCAGCTCTATATTGCATTTAAAAAAGAAAAAATTGTTGTTCGTTAAATAATGTTTTCAATTTTAATTTAACCTATGCATTATAGCTGTCAAGTAAATGCTTCAAGGTCAAGTACTAACTACTAACACTGCGACCGATTTCCTAGTTTGAAGCTGGTTAATTATCTCATTATTTGCAAGTTGCTAATTGGTATCCTATCTGCAACTAGTATTCTCAACTAAAGAAAAAATGTACTTAGTACTGTCATATTATACTAGCAACTTGCTTCAGGTTTTCTTCCTTCCGATTAATTAGCATGCTCATCGCAATAACACACAAATTGAAAGATGGTTCAATTATTCTTTACCAAAAAAATAAAAATAAAGGGGCATCACGATACACGAAATATCCCATATTTAAGCAGGGTTTGAGGAACGCATCCCAAGGGGTGTGATTAGCATATTCCTGATACAAGTATTAGTGGTTGATTTTACAATTCAAACACATGACCTATATGTCATAGGGAGCCGTATATTGCTTCAGATTCATACACGTTGACGTAGTTAAGAAACCTTAAAAGCCATAGGCCCATAACATATGGTATGTACCAATCATGAAGTGTTTTGGAAGTTTTACTAACACTAAATCAAGAAGCTCAAGCTTCCCTCTAATCTTTTAGGCTTTGCCATAAGTCTAAGCATGAATCATGAAACTTCACTACTTCATTGCCATGTTTCCATGTGCCTTGAGCAAGCTAGCTATTCTCATGACCACGTGCACCTCACATGTATTCTTATAGATCCTATTTTTGTTCAATATTTTCCCCCCCTTTCATACTATGGCCTATAGCTTAACCCCATGATAAATACGTCCACATATATGTCACATTTTAAAAAATTCGAAAAATTACATAATTAACAAAAACAGAGCATTTAATTACAGACCCTGCCATTGTAACTCCTCAATAAATACGCCCACTTAATTTCCTTTCCCTCTCAATTCGCCCTCTGCTCAAACCCCATTCTCTCTCTCTCTCTCTCTCCCGTTTAGACTGAACTCTTCACTGTGAGAAAATGGCTGTGACTAATTGGACACTCTGCATTGCTAGTGTTCTCTGTTTTCTGACGTCCGTTAACGCAAAAATCTCCGGCAATTACGCCGGCGGCCCCTGGACAACTGCCCACGCCACTTTCTATGGAGGCTCTGATGCCTCTGGCACCATGGGTATTATACCTCTCTTCTCTTCTCCCCATTTTACGCAAAATTCTTCGATTTAAACTACTACTTCAATATAATAAGAATCTATAGTGTTAAATACT